GCCGTGCCACGGGAAATGATGCTCCCTGGGCTTCTGGGTTCATCACTATTAATCAGCGCAGCCTGCTGTCTAGCCCCCCTCCCCCTATTTTTTTTTTAAACCTCCTTTTTATTGTGTGCAAACTCAAAACTCCTGGTCGCGTTGTAAGGGCTTCTTCCCCCCCCCCCTTTCTTTTTTTTTTTTTTTAAACAAGATTGTTTAGTCTTAGATTCCTTGCACATTAAAACAATCATACGCACCGTCTGGACTAAAACATAGCGTCTAATTTGCCTTGTCATTCCAGCTGACAGAAGTGAGGTGGTAGGATGTGCGTGCAGTTTCACAGATTATTTTGCTTTTAAAAGTAGGAAAAAGTACGAATTACAAGTTGAAGATCAGTTTACTAACTTCCGAGACCGACGAAAGTAGAGCATGGAAGAAACAATTACTTAGGGTGCTAGTGTGTTTTAAGACACCTTCCAGATACTTTGTGTTGCCTTCATTCACTTTCTTACTTTAAATCTGTGCTTTAATTTAGAAGTTACTAGTTGAGCTTTGCCCCTTTCATTTCAAGATGCAAACCTGGGGCAGGGTGTGAAAAAAGCCTGAGATTGGCTTTTCTCGAAATAATTGTGCACATTGAGTCACCCGTTTTATTTATACTAAGCAGTGTTGAAACCCCTCGTACTGTTTATTATAGAAAACAGGAGGACACTGCCGGGGGAAGAAATGCTGTTTTGTGTACCACAACAAAGAGCGAGACACCGAAAACCAGCATCACAGCCTTAAACACAGACAAAACAAAGTCATCCAAACCAGCACTATGCAAGAAAAACATTATTTAGACCAAACACCCAGCAGGAATAGCCCTCTACTTTTCCCACTGGGACCCATCCCATTAGTCCCCTGGTTCAAAAAAAGAAACTTTCTCAACCCCTCTTACTCCCTTTTCTAAAAACTTTGTTCCCATCTTCCAGCCCAAAAGTAAATTCTTACAGTTACTTTGGCAATGAAATGTGTCACTTCATCAATAAAATCTCGAAAATCCTCCAACAACTTTAAGAAGGACCAAACCTCCACAGCCTTAGGCCCTTGTCCTGACACAAAATGGAAAACCCTTGCTTCCACACCCGACCCTCTCTTCCCCCCCCCAGAAAACAGGACAAACAGACATACAAAACTTAAATGGCTTCACTAAGGATTTATCACCATTTCCCCTCCCCTTTCTCTACTACACAGAGTCAAAGTAAAAAAAAAAAAATAGCTTAAATTAATTTCTAATTCTGAAAGATTTTTGAGTAAAAGATGGCTTATTTTTTTCTGTATAAAAAGTAGAAATAAGAGTTGCTGGCGTAGCTCTTTAAAGCAGAAGAAAGTTTCCCCTAACTGCACCTTATTTTAAAATATCTATCCACACACAGATTTTAATTTCCTATTCCCATAAATCCCAAACCAGATTTTATTGTGGTGAATGACGATTGTTTTGCATGAAAAGCTCAAAGCAATTAATACTATTCATGGGCGTGACTGGGACTAAAATGAACAAATCTGAAAATGCCCTCTTGGAACCCAAGTATTTCATTGTTTTGTTTTTAATTGTATGCTTCTACCTATAAGAAAATGTATAGTTGTATTTGAGCTTGGTTGTTTGTTTTCTTAAAAAACTAAATAGTCAGGGACTCATCCCTTCAGGATGGGATAGTCCTTTTCCAGACTGACAGAGAGAGGGGAAAACATTCAGAACTTGCTTCTTGCTGCAGCTTGTACACAGTGAATGTTTTACAGTAATGTAATTCTGTGTCTTCTATGATATTCTTCAGAAAGGAACAGTAAAGACAAAAGAAATGCCACAAGTAATACAAAATGTATGAACTCTAGATGTAGACTTCATCACTCACCTCTTCCTCCCCTCATCCCCACACAGGCATGTGTACCAGTAGAGGAACATGTGTGTGACAGGCTGATGTGTTAAAGCCCAGCAATTGCCTGCCTGAATCTGTGGATCAGCTCCTGCCTTTAGCGTGGTACGAGCCCTTTTACCATGAAGTGTGCATGTCCCACGAGCACCCAGGAGCCCACCCAGCAAAAGGAGGGAGGAGAGGGAGATGGGAAGAGTTACATTGGAAGCTGTTAAAAAAAAAGGAATAAATTTTAAAAATTTACAGGAGGGCAGGCAGGGGAGTTGGATGAGAAAAGCTCCAAGTGTATGTGTGGGAGGGAGGGGAGTTGAGAAACAAGGATGTCGATCAGCCTTGCATCACCCAAGCAGAGTACTTGCTACTTGTATCTCAAAGTCTTTCGACCTCTTCCACAGAAAGGAATTTAACTCCAGCCGGATGGCTGCTGCACGCCATTACTGTTTCAGTCATAAGTGGATGCAGCAACACATTTTGGAGGGAATTTGGGTCTCAGAAATCCCAGTGGGAGATGTCAGCATCGAATTAAAGCGCCACATCAGCTTTCTGGTCAGCTCCTGGAAGAATGCCTGCTCTTTCTCCTTATCACTTCTTTGCCCTGTATTTGTGTGTTGCATATGGACACATACATGTCATACATACATGTCACACATACGCACACTGCCCTAGCAGACCTTGCAGCATTGCTCTCAAACCAACTTAGTGCTGCTTAATACATTTAAACTCCCACGGCGAACATGGCAAACTATTTGTTACTATGATTCCCTTGCTTGACAAGAACCTGAGAGCGCTGCTCTCCTCCCGTGCCAGCCAAGCAGTCTGCTCCAAAGTTCCCGGAGTTTTGGCATCCCCTCGTGAGCAGAGAAACCCCTGAACTTCAATAGACTTAGTTTTACGCAAGGAAGGACGGCGTCTAGGAAGGAGGCACCGAGAACAAACAGGTTTTATGGAGACAGCTGTGGGGGGAGGCACGTTTGGTTCTCGAAGTCTTCATTTCACGGCGAGCTGGTCACCGCGCCGGACGTGGGATTTACGGAGCATTATGCTAAGCAAAATGTCACCTCCTCACACTTC